TGTATCCCCTCTATGAGCCAGTTTTGCCAGTTACCCTGATTCAGTACTGAAGAAGGTAACTGACACAGATGAAGCACGGAGGTTGGAGTGTGGCCTAGGTTTCCTCATCTCAGCTATGCTTGGTAGAAGGGAAAAAAAAATCTAGCTATCCATGCAGGGCTTTGTGGCTCCTGTGCTGCTGGCATCTGTGTTATTGGGAAAAGACTGTTCCCATTGGAGGAGAGAAGAAGACGCAGGACTCAGGCAGCCAGGCCTCCAGGACTCCTGTCCTTACTGAAGTTGAGGAAGTGAAAGAGAGGGGAATATATTAGGGATTTCTTGGAAGAGTGGGAGTTGGGGGGAGGAACTTTGCATGTGTTTGCATGTGTAGAATTGTCAAATAATAAAAGAGTAATTTCCTAATCTAAACATCTGATGTCTTTATAAAAAGAAGCAGCAGGGATGTGTGTGTGCGCATGCGTTTATGTGTGTGTGTGTGTGTGTGTGTGTGTAGGAAAGGCCATGTGAGGACATGATGGGAAGGTAGCCAAGGAAAGAGGCTTAAACCTGCTGACACTTTGATAATGGACTTTCAGCCTCTAGACCTGTGAAAAAGTGATTTTTGTTGAGTAAGCTGTCTAGTCCTTGGCATTCTGTTTTGGAACTCTGTGTATTAGTCAGCTTTCTATCACTGTGACAAATTTTTGAGGCAAGTCAACTTACAAAGACCAAAGGTTTACTTTGGCTCACTGCTGCTGCCATTGCTAATGAGTGGCTACAAACCTAGGATTCTGTTAGAACTGGATTTCTGTTAATTCTTTTCAGCACATTACTGTGCTCAGCCTTAATTTATTTTTCAAGGAGAGAGCACATTTATCAATAGCCCATTGGGTAGTTAGGGGGAATTATAGAGAAAACTCAGCTTGAGTAGTATGACCCACAAACTAGTCCATTGAAGGCTCTGGGGTCTGTAGCTGAGCTGTGGACCTGTCACCTTGGGGGAGTATTCTTTGGGCTCCATTTTCAAGTCACTCTCCCTTGAATCAAAGTCCAGTGTGGGTAGGTCTCACTAGCTGAGTCTCAGCCTTCTGGCTGCAACTTGATCACATGGAGTAGTAGGAAGTCCAAAGTCAAGGAGTCACATCTGCTGAGAGTCTTCTTGCTGGTGAGGATCCTGTAGAGTCTCAAGGTTGCTGCTCAGGGCATCACATGGTTGCACAGAATCCAGAATATTCCATGTTAGCTGTTTGTATGGGTGTGAACTAGCATCTCACTGTGGTCTGATAGTCATTTCCCTCAGTTATAATGAGGTTGGTCATCTTTTGTGCTTATTGCCTGTTCCTGTATCTTCTATGGCAAAGCCTGTGTTTATGGATCTTTGGCTATATTTGAATTGGTGTATTTGAGGTTGTTTTTTTTTTTTTTTTTTTTTACTGAGTTCTAGGAATTCTTCTTTTAAAATTTCATTCTATTCTCTTTGTCTGCATATAGAGGTCAAAACATAACTTTCAGGAGTCAGTTCACTGTTTCCGATGTGGGTTCCAGGGACAGAACTCACATCAGGTTTGTGTGGTCAGTGCTTTTACCCACTGAACCCCTCACTGGCCCTAGAAATTCCTTTCATTTATTTGTTTATGTATGTATGTATGTATGTATGTATGCATGCATGCATGTATGTATATATGTATTTTTTTTGAGACAGTCTTATGTGGCTGAGTCTGGTCTTGAGCTGTTTATGTAACTGAGGATGACCTTGAACTTCTGATCTTTTGTATGTTGGGATTTCAGGCATGAAGTACCACACCTGGTTCGCTTGTAGTACTGAGGTAGATAAGGCCTCTACCAACTGAGCTGCATCTCTACCACTAGGAATCCTCTTTAGATTCTGCAAACCTGGGGTCCCTGGTGCTTGTGTACCTCCCTCATCCCTAGAAGCTTTATAGTTCTCAGTTCTGCAAATTCCAGCTGCCTTGATCATCTTGAACATCTCTTTTGTTCTCAACTTTGTGAGATGGCCTGGCCCTATTTGGACGTTGCTTCTGTACTGAGGTCCAGAATCTGCTCCCAGGAAGGAAGCTCCAATGAGGGTAGCTCTCATATCATGTGAGTTCCCTTTCTCATAGCAAGTATAACTGCAAGTGGAGAGTTCAAGTAGAGGTCAGTAAGTGGCATTGGCTTTGGTTAAATCTATATACCAAGGATATCATCAAGCCCAGGGGTAGTTCTAGCTTTCTATTAGGTTGTGTTTAGGTTTCCTCAGCCATAGCTTTCCCTAGTGGCTGCTGTGCTTTGAGACACTCCATCGGAACATCTAGCATCATTTACCACCTACATCTAAACTATAGCTGCTTTGTGTCCTTACATATGTGACTTATATCACAATGGGCTTCTCTTGAGGAGGAATTTAAGCAAAACAGGGTGAGACTGGATTGGAACTAGAGGAGAAAATGGAGTCTCAAGATCATGTAGCTTAGCACTTTATTGGTTTTTGACAGATTCAGCTACTGGCGTGTAACCACAATCTGTGCTGCATGGACATAGCCCTCAGAGATCACTGAAGGTTTTCTTGGGGGGAGGCCTGGGCCACAGGTCCATGCAGAGTTTCCTGCCCTTCCCTATTCTTACCTCTGTTCATTTTTTTCTGTCTCCCCTTGAGACATATCATGAGTACTAGGCTGACCTCATACTCACTGTGAAGCCCAGGGTGACCTTAATCTTTAGCTCTTTCCCCCCCCCCCCCCGTACCTCTTGAGTCCTGGGATTACAGGTGTACACAGGCATTCCCAGTTTGCTAATGCTGAGGCTGGAGCTCAGGACTTCGTGCCTGCTAGGCAAGTGCTCCGCCAACTAAGCTGCATCTCCAGCCCTGGTGCTGTATTATTCTTTTGCTCCTAGACTTATGACGAAGACAGTTTTGTAACACCTGTGCAGGGGGTTTGGGGAGGTGAAGGGGTTGGGGATAGGCAGGTGAGGATTTAGCAGAGGGGAGTTTAGGAGCTCCAAAATATCTACAGGAAGTAGTGGTCAGGCAAATTCTGTGAATTTGATAGGTAGGGCCCTTTCCCTACCTAGGCATTACAGTTCCATCCCAACCAAAAATACAATAGATGGGAAAATAGAGTTCCTACTAGGTCTCCTGGAGGAAACTAACAAAAGACATTATCAATTTCCTATTGCTGTTCATAAGAAATCATTGCAAATATAGCGGCTTAAAACATCCCCGTTTATTCTTGTATAGTTAGAGGCTGGATATTGAAGGTTGCTATGTCAACAGGGATGTATTCTTTTTGGTGGCTTCAAAGAAGAATCCATTTCCTTCCATTTCAGCTCCCGGAAGTTTCATTCCTTGGCCTGGAGGCCTATACCACTTATTTATTTATTTGATAATGCTAAATATACCTATTTGATTGAAAATGATTAGAAGTTACTTTAATTTAGTAACAATTAATTGAAGTTTATTGTCTCTGTCTTGTCTTGAACTGATTTTTATTTTTCATTCCTTTTTGAGTCACTCCACTCTCTTGATTCTGCTGTTAAATCTGATCTGTCTCTCTCACTGCCTTTGTGATCACATTGGGCTAACCCAAATAATTTAGGAGAGTTTCCTCACTTCAGAATCCTTAATTTAATCATATCTGCATATTATTTCTGTTTCAGGCCACACAATTCAAAGTTCTAAGGAGTTGGTGTAGATGTCCTCAAGGATTCCTCTGTGCAGCCTTCCATAGGACAGGAAGCTTAGCTGGTGGAGCCTCTGTCCTCTAAAGCTCGCTGGGGTCACGAAACTTCTTTCGGGCAGAAAATCCTGTAAGGAAGGGCTTTGGACTAAAAGCCTGTGTGGGACCTGCATGATGAGGTGAAGCCCTGAGAATGAGGAGAACTCTACCAGGACCAGGAAGTTGAGAATTCTCTGGAGTGTTCCATCTTGGTCAGGTCACAGAAGATGCTACAAGGTCTCTGACACACTGACTGAAGAGAGACTAAGACAGGACTTAAACTGTACTATTTTCAGATTTGAACATTGTGGCACACACCTATATTGCTTGCATTTGGGAAGTGGAGACAGAAGGATCAAGGTTCAAAGTCATCTTCAGCTACTTAGTAAGTTCAAGGCCAGTCAGGGATGAGACCCTGTATTAGTATTTCCATTGCTGTGACAAAAATACCATGATCAAAAGCTACTTGGAGAGGAAAGGGTTTATTTCCTCTTACAGCTCTCAGGTCGCAGTCCATCCTTGTGAGAAGTCAGGGCAGAGATTGAAGCAGAGGCCATGGAAGAACACTGTGTACTGGCTTGCTCAGTTTACTTTGTTATAGCACCCAGGACCACCAGCCCAGGGATGGTACTGCCGACAGTGGTCTGGATCCCCTTCATCAATCGTTAATCAAGAACCTGCCCCACACAGGCCTGCCTTCAGGCCACTTATAGAGACAGTTTTTCAGTTGAGGATCTTTCTTCTCAAATGACTCTAGCTTGTGTCAAATTGACAAAATAACTAGCTAGATAAGACCTCTTATCAGGAAAACTAAAAAATGAAACCAAAACAAATTACTCTCAAACAGTGTCTACCTTCAGGGGATAACTGAGAGGATACATTGAATTAATACATTCAAATTGTTTAAGACACTGCCTGGCACAAAATTAACACTCAGTGTTGGGTCTCCTTGGCTGTTCAATAATGTCTGGTCCTTATCTCACTCCTCCACCAGCCCCTAGGCCCACAGGAAGCAGAGCAACATTGAAAATCCATCAAACACAGGAAAGAATAGGTTGGCTAGTGGTGTGAACTTGCAGGGGGTGCAGTATCCTGACACCACACCTATGAGCATCTACCTCTTTTGCTGCTAAAAGTTTCCATTTGCTCTTACAGTAGGAGAAGAGCCCACAGTAAAGCCTCTGACTGCTGTTTTCATTTCAGTTTCTCATCGGATTTTGATTTTGAGAAGGGACATAAGGCATGTAGCTAAAACAGAAATGATTGGATAGGAAAGGTGGGAGCAAAGAAGAGGAGAGGGGGACTAAGGTAGAAGAGATTCATTTAATTGTCTGGATTCTTTACAATGTCCTGGAGGTGGAGGGCACTGGAGCTCGAGGAGTGACTACTGAGCTGGAAGATGGCTGATGAAGAGCACATTCTGCTTAAGAAGCTGCACACAGTCAGACCTTTTGTACCTAGTGGGTCTACTGTAGTGACCTTTGGGGAGGCGTTTCTCTGAATGACAGCCTTCACATTTGGATGATCCAGTCCCTCCACTCACTTCCGCTCCTCATGTAGATGGTAGGACCTGTAGAACCCCACACCTTTTAGTGCTATGTGAAGCCCCTTCCATTTTCAGAGTCCATTCTTCTCCTGTGCTGAGGCCTGAAGTGGCATCATCTGCTTCTGCTGTTCCTGCTGCTGTTGCTTTTGCTTTCCTCTGCTCCTGGGGAAGGAAAGCAGATATTTGGGTTTGCAGCCTCCTGTTTGGGTTTGAGATGGGGCAGGCTCTCCCCTCAGCTGTTACTAGCCATCACTATCTGCTCTCAAATGGCAACTACTTCTTTCTGGAGCTGAGAGCCCCAAGGATTATGGGAGAATCTTCCACTTGGAGACAAAGGGAAAAAGCCCTGACATGGAAGAGGAGGGCTGGGTCTGAACCTCAGTGCTGCCCTAGACTGGGTAGGTGACCTGGAGTAAGTCACTGATCCTCCTTGGGGGATACCAACCTGCTCTTCAGGTCCTGCACTGTATCAGGCAGCGGCTTGCCCAAGGTCTCTGGCAGCAGGGGAGTGATTGCACTGGCGGCCACGGGGACAGCACCGAAGATGAAGAGAGGCATGGAGGGGTAGATCTCTGCAGTCATGCTCACCAGTGGGCTCACGATGCTGCCCACCCGGGCCATGGTGCTGCCCATGCCCAGGCCTGTCTGCCTGTGGTCAGATAGGTGCTGGTTAAAGCTCTGGCATGGGTACCAGTGGCCACATTTGGAGCAGGGCAGTTCCCTCACCATCCTTGTGCCTCCCTTTTTCTACTTGATTAGCAAATGATTCCACATTTCTGTGTTTGGCTGTTGTTTGTGCTGGAATCAAAGCCAGAGCTTTGCATAGACCAGGCAGATGCCTTACTACTGGCATCCCCAGACCCTTGTGGTGTCTTTTAAAACAAAAAGGGAAATGGGGAAGGACTGTCATTAGAGAATCAAGAGACTTGAAACTGAGTTCTGCCTCTTTCCTTAAGCTGCTGTGTGACCTTCAGCCAATATCTTTACAATCTCTGGGCTTCAGTTTTCAGCTGTCATGTGAGACCATTGGGTAAGACCAGGGATTCTGGAATGTGTTTTTCTTTTTCTTCTTTTCTTCTTTCTTTCTTTCTTTCTTTCTTTCTTTCTTTCTTTCTTTCTTTCTTTCTTTCTCTCCCTCTCTCTCTCTCTCTCCCTCCCTCCCTCCCTCCCTCCCTCCCTCCCTCTCCCTCCCTCCCTCCCTCCCTCCCTCCCTCCCTCCCTTCCTTCCTTCCTTCCTTCCTTTCTTTTTCTGGCTGTGCTAGGGATGGAACTCTGGACCTCACACTCATGAGACAACTGCTCCACCCCTGAGCTACACCGCATCACACCTGCATACCTTATGAATCATAGCTGTCTCCATGTCACAGAAACCTGTTAGTTAGGATCCCCAGGGGAAGGGACCTGGAAGCTGCATGTTGCTTGTGTGTTAAGAATATTTATTCTCTATGAGAGCTGGCAAGATGGCTCAGTGACTAAGAGCACTGGCTGCTCTTAGAGAGGAGAGGACCCAGGTCCAGTTTTCAGTACCTACATGGCAGCTCATAACCATCTGTAACTCCAGTTGTAGCGGATCTGACATTGTCTTCTGTGCCCAATGGGCAGGTACATGGTATATGTACATACATGTGGGCAAAACACTCACATGATAAATAAAAATAAATAAATAAATCTAAAAATAAATCCTGCTAACTGAGAACATTCCTTGTGAAAGAAGACGTTAAAAACACCGACTCAAGAGCAACTGCATTGGGTTTCACACACGAGCTGTGTGATCTTGGAGAGTATACCTAACTTCTCTGTGTTTCTGTTTTCACATGTGTTAAAGGAAAATGATAATGTCTACCTTGATCTGTTTTGAGAAATAAGTGAGTCAATATTTGTGAAAAGATTAAGACAGTACATGCTTTACTTGAATGCTTGGTACATAGTACACACTGTCTAGAAGTCATAAAGTCGTGGAATAGTATCCAAGATGCCTCAGGGTTCTCATCCCAGCACCGTGACCTCTCAGGTCTTTGACATTTTATGTGATGTTTACATTCAATTCCTAAGGTAGACATATTGCTTTATTTCTTAACATCACTCCCATCTTACCATAAAGTGGTGCTGAGTTTGCTCATACGGCTGGTATGTTGTCAGGAATGGTTCTTGTAAAAAGTTGCATGTGTGTTTGTGTCTTTGATTTCAGATATACTGCTTAGTTTAAGATGAAGTTTAGATATGATCACAGCTTGTAACTTGTATTCTGGGGTCTTCAGCTGATTGTCTCTGAGATGTGACTCTCTACCCTGTTCTCGTTGGTAACTTCTAGATCTCCTTGAGGGGGTTAGGTGGTGGCTGGACAGCCACACCTCTGCCAGCCAGACCCTGACACGTGTAACTGAGTGGTTCCTATATATCTTGCCCCAATGAATGGTTTTTGGAGATGTTCTGGGTACTAGGCTATACTCTGGGGTTCTGGCTTTAATGTGGGCAAGAGACTATCCTTCCCTAGACTCTCCATGCACTGAGTACCCTCTTACCGAATCACAGTGGGGTACAGCTCTCCGGTGTACAGGAAGATGCAGTTGAAAGAGGAAGCCAGACAGCCCTTTCCTAGCACAGCCAGGGATGTGCGTACGATTGTATGGCCTAGAGAGAAAGGAGTGGGAGATGGGGAGCAAGGGGATCGAGGTTGGAGGTACTGTTTTTTTCTTCTTCTGAGAAGTTGGGTTATGTCTGAAGGGGCAGGGTGGGTGGGACTGAGAGCTGATAGACTGGTAAGTGCTCACCCTTTGGTATTATGCCATTCAGTAGGATGCAGATGCCTGCCAGCAGCAGGGAGGCCAACTGTGCAGGCCGGCGGCCTATGGAGTTGATGACTAGGAAGCACACGAACTTGGCAGGCAGGTCCACGGCTCCAAAAATCACCTGGATAAGGTATATGCTGACCCCAAAGCCCTGCAGGTCCATGACCAGCCCGTAGTAGGCAAAGCTAGTGGCAAACCTGGTATGAGGGAGAGATATGTGGAGCTGGTTAGATGGGCTTAAACAAGGGTGCTCATAGCTGGGCAATGGTGGTGCTTGCCTTTAATCCCAGCATAAGAGGCAGATGCAGGTGTGTCTCTGTGTTTGAGGCTAGCCTGATCTACAAAGTGAGCTGAGGATACACAAAGAAACCCTGTTTTGAAAAACTAAAATCAAACCAAAATCAACCCACTCCCCTCAAAAAAACCTCCAAGAAAACAAAACAAAACAACAACAAAAATCAAGGATGCTCTTCCATAAATACAGTGATGCATGGAGTATCCTGCTTTGGGACCTGAGATCTGCTTTGGTTATTGCTTCTTTAGACACATAGCAATTACATATTCAAACTGCACATATTCAAACTGCACAGTTGCACTATTGGAGCAGTCCTCTAATCCTGTGCTAACTTGACACCCCAGGGAGTTGGGGAACTTTCACTTAGCTGCTAAGTAGGATTTATGCACTCTCAGTCTTTATCTTATCTGCTGGACTGAGGGAGGACAGGTTACCGTGTAAGCTACATCAAGGTTCTGACCATGCCCCACTTAACTGTCATGGGATTACCATGGTGATGCATACGAAAGAGAGAGAGAGAGAGAGAGAGAGAGAGAGAGAGAGAGAGAGAGAAGAGGAGAGGAGAGGAGAAAGGAGAGGAGAGGAGAGAGAGAATGGGAACACTGAAAAGAAGATTTGAGCTTACATCATCTTTGTCCCAAGTGTGTTGTGGGGAATATGTGTGGCACGTGTGGCTTCTCTTATGCCTGTGCTGGTTTCCCTCCAGGTACTACCGGAGCAATAAAGTCTCTGAGCGTTTTTCAAAGCACACTGGTTTGACCTCACAATATAAACTTGTGGGCTCTGGAAATCTTATCTGTGGTCCTGATAAGGTGGTTTATCCTGGAACAGGGCTGGGAGAGGAGCTGGGAGACTAGTGACCAGTTTGAGCCCGGGGACTGGGTGGAGCTGGAGGGCGATGGTTTCTTTGAGGGTCTCACTACCAGTCATAGCAGATCTGCTGATTTTTCCTCCCCTTCCCTCCCTTTTCCACCCATTTTATCCATGCCCTCCCCCAGCCTGATTTTGATCTTTTGATTAGCCCGCTTGTCCAGCAGTGTGTCTGTCTGAGCCTACCACAGCATGGAGAGACAGATGAAGAGGTGTCGAAGGGTGGGGCAGCGCAGCAGCTCCACGGCTGAGGCCTGGCCTTTGCCTTGAGTCAGTTCCTTCTGCAGGCTAGTCCGGAGCACCTGGTGGGATGGGCGTGACTCAAAGCCTGAGCTTTCCCTAGGGGACCCTTTTGTCCAACCTCTGAATCTTGTGTCTTGGTATTGGGGATTGGGTTGGAGCTCAGGCGGTGTTTAGGAACAAATGAGTCTTACCTCTATATTCAGTTTAGCTCCCTCTTCTTGTTTCCCATTGATCCTGGCCACTCTCTGCAGGGCTCGGAGGGTGAGGTCCAGCCTTCCTGAGGAGGAGTACCAGCGGGCTGACTCAATGAAGAACCTGGAAGTGAGGATGGAGAGAGGGCAGATGTTGGCATAGTCTCAGTTTCAGTCTTCTGGGTTAGAGGTATGTAGTAGGGTTTTACTTATGTTCTGGGGACCAGGGCCCTTGCCAAGAGCCCCTTAAGGACAAAGGCCAGCTCTATAAAGACCCGTTTCCCAACCCAGAAGCCCCTGCTCCTGGGTGCTGGGTAGAGGCGTGCCAGCAGGCAGGTCAAACTGTGGTGTGCCAGAGAACTGCCACCCTCCTTCAGAACAAAACCTATCCCAGCCTTGGCTTCAGAATTTATTCAAGAGAAGCATTGTCTTGGAGTCAGCTTTATGGCTTGATGGACTCTCTGGGGAAGTTTGCGCCAAGCTCTGGGCGATGGCTTGTCTGTTGTAGCCCCATAGACTTCGGGCAATCAATCTTTCCCGCCCCAGATCCCACATACCAAGAGTAGATGAAGGCAACGAAAAAAGGCACAGAGACCACAAGCTGCAGGTGGCGCCAGTGGGGCACAGCATAGGCGATACCAGCCAGGAGGAATTGGCCCAAGCTGTAGACATAGCCGATCAAGGTGCCCACATAGGCACGGGTGTGGATAGGCATCCATTCCACATCTGGAAAGGGTTAAAGTGGTGGGGGTAATTGGGCTGCTAGATGGGAAGGGTCCTCTCTTCCCCCTCCCAATTGTGTTTTTTCCCGACTCTGTAGAAGATGTATTGGTGAGATTGGGCACCAAGGTAGGGAGAGCGGAGACATTAAGTGGAAGTAGGAATTAGGAGTTAGATTCAGGATTCCCTGGAACTGGCCTCTCCATGCTCCTGCTGCTTTTTGGCCCTGCCCTAAGGGCCTGACTACAGCCCCTTTCCGTGCAGAGTTACTCTGACCACTCAGTCTGTTCTCAGCAGCAAGCACTGCCTTTCCCTCAGTCCCGGACTGGATTCACCCTGCGTGGTCAGAGCACTACTTTTTTTCCATCCTGGAGCATCAGTCTAGGTAGGAAGGGTCCGCTACTGTGTTAAGGTCTCGAGAGGAAGGGCTGGGTTTCTGATGGACTTCTGATTCTACTGCTGGGATACACTTGAATATTTATATTGACTTTGGAGCCTTAGGCATGATTTAGCTCTATGTCAGGCCTAGCTAGTTCTTCAATCTAGAGAATTGTGAATTCCTGAATTTCTTCTGGGCTTGAGGGATGACTGCAGGTAAATTTTGTTTCTTCTCCTCAGCCTCAGATTCATTATCTGGGAAATTGTGTATATGTGTGTGTGTGTGTAAAATCTACTAGAGGAAACACACTGATGGTTTATGAATACACTATTCTCAATCACTAAGTATGTTTGGTGCATATGATGCTGGCTCCTCCTTACTTAGAAATATTAGACTAACCATGATACTAAAATAATTACAATATTTTATATTAATTTTAAGAGTTGAGAGAGATCAGGGCATGGTGGTATCTGCCTGCAATCCCAGCACTTGGGTGGGGGAAGCTGAGTGTTGTGAGTTGGAGGCTACATAGTAAGACTATGTTTCAAAACAAAACAAATAAACAATACCAGTGAAAACAGAGCGAGATCTGACTTCTTGGCTGGGAGTGCCTTTGATATTTCTAGCTAGGATGTTTCTTTTTTAAAAACTTACATTTTTATTTACTTATCCTCTTATTCTATCTTTTCTGTGTATATGTCTCTCTCCCTCTCCCTCTCCCTCTCCCTCTCCCTCTCCCTCTCCCTCTCCCTCTCTCTCTCTCTCTCTCTCTCTCCTCTCTCTGTGTGTGTGCCTGTATGTGTGCTTGTCCTGACAAGTGTGGAAGTCAGAGAACTGCTAACTTGCAGCAGTTGGTACTTTTCTGTCACCATGTTGATCCTGGAGATTGAACTCAGGTCATTAGACTTGATGGCAAGTGTCTTTACCCACTGAGATATCTTGCAACCCCCACCATCTTTGCTATTTATTCTAGACTGGTCTAGGACTCATTATATAGACCTGTCTGGCTTCACACTTGAGACAGTCTTCCTACCTCTGACTCCCAAGCACTGGAATTGTGGGAACATGTCACCATGCCTGGTCTGTCTCACTAGCCTTCAGACCTCCTTTGGATACAGTCTTCGCTACTCCTAAGGTCTTCTGTACCTGACTTGTTGTGGGCACTCTGACCGTGGAGTTGGCAATCTCATTCTAAGTGAGGGGTCAAGGTGGTGTGAGCTGGGGGCTGGGGAAGGCAGTGTTAATGTTTACTGGAAATGCAGATCTAAGGAGATTTTGGGTTGAGAGGAGGTGGGCTCAGAAGGTGAGGACTGGCAGGACTGGGTGGCGAGAGGGGACACGATGGGCAGTCCTCACTTAGTGTCATGCAGTTGATTGCAATGCTAGCCAGAGACATGCCCGAGAGGAGCCGGAAAATGCAGTAGACAGTGTAGTTGGGTGCATAGGCTGCACAGGTTCCCGACACAGCTGTCTGCAGGTAGTTCAAGATCAGCACCTTCCGACGGCCCAGCCTGTGGGGGAGGGAAGACCTGTGTCAGGGGTCTGAGGACTACTGGGAGCCAGGCTGAGCTACACAGGAGAGGAGTAGCTGCCTATGGTGATGTCCCAGACTGCAGTTTTCTGAGGACCTAAGAAGAATCCCAAGTCTTGAACTTAAGCCAGCCACCCCTGCCTTAAAACCAGCCAGGGGCCCCCATCCCAGTTTAGCCCAGCTCTTTGGCTTACCCAGGACTGACCTGTCTGCCAGGTAGCCAAACATCATGGCTCCCAGCAGCACTCCCACCATGTACAGGGATTGGGCCAGCTGGCGGAAGGCCCGATGAGAGCACACAAGGTTCCACTGTGGGGAGAGGTAAGCCAGGGTTGGACAGAGAAGAGCCTGATGCAGGGAAGCCCCTCAACCTCCTCTAGGAAGGTCTCCAGGGTCTACGTCACTCTCTCTCAGTAATGCTTCTCTTTCTTGTTGGACTTACAGTTCCTGGGAGATAAGCACACTTACAACACTCAGCAACTTCCACATCCACCCTTTTTACAAATACTGTCTTCTTGAATGTTTTAATTTCATCTTCTGGTCTTGGCCCCTGAGAAGCTTGACTGTGTGTGTGTTTGTGTGCGCATGTGTGTCTGTCTGTCTGTCTGCCTGCCTGCCTGTCTGTGTAGGAGGAGAAGTAGTGTCACATGGAGAGAAAGCCCCACATTCTTACCTCAGTCACGATGGTTGAAGGGAAGGTGCTGTTGTCGTAGACCCAGCCATCTATGCAGGGCTCTGTGACTCCGGTGTCATTGACCTCTGTGCCATTAGAAAAAGGTGGTCCCCGCTTGGGGGAAGTAAAGCGGAGGCAAGATTCAGGTCGTCCTTGCTTGTCCAGGGGCAGCCAGGCCTCCAGACCTCCATCTTTGCTGAGGTTGGCATTGGCAGGTGGGCGACAGTGGTGAGTGGGGATAGCAGCAGTGAAGTTCTGCACGGTGTTGTGGGAAGCCATCAGCAACAGGGGAGCAACCACCATGGTGATCTGGATCAGCTGGAAGCGTCCGACGCCCCCCACCTGTTTCAGGAGGTCATTGAAGGCCATGGGGCTGGGCCAGGCTGAGTGGTCAATGACTGAGGACCTCTAGTCCCAGGAACTCTGTCTGTCTGTCTGCTGCCCTTTGCCTCTGCAGCTGAGTGACTCCTGGAGCTGGAGCTGAGCCGGTTCTGTGGCGGGACACGGCAGGCTGGTGGGCTGCCCCTCCTTTCTCTCTCCCCTGGTTCTGGCCCTCCCTTGCCCTCGCCTCTTTTCTTCACTTCGGGGGTCTGGATAGCTCAGCTTTCAGGGTCTGTTGGAGCCCTGACTCTTACGCAGGCAGCTTTTAATCTTTGTCCTAAAGACAATGAGTTAAAGTGTGACTTGGTGTCAGAAGGATTAACCCTGTAAGTATTCCTTGTGTCAGTGGAATTTCTCCAAGTGGGTATGAAGGGCAAGAGAGGATGGATGAGACTGAGAGTGATTGGATTCACTAGGGGAGGCCATTTGGGCAGAAGAATGCAGAAGGGGACAAGGTGGGATCTCCTGTCTTCCTTCTGTTGAGCAAGCTGGGCTCTGGGAAATGTTGTGGCCTTTTGAAGGGTTTCTGTGGATACATAGTCTGTCTTCTGGAATAAGACCAGAGAAAACACAGCAAGTCCTGTTGAACCTGAATGCCATATTGATGGTCAATTTTAAAAAAGTGTAGCCCTAATATTGAACAGGCCATGTTTATATCCAAAATTATGCATTGATTTGATACTGATCTGACTGGGAATAGTGTATTCTTATTTGCTAAATTGAGCAACCGTAACCTTTGGTCTTCTGAGGACAGACAGCTCACATCTTGCAGGAACATGGCTTTGTACAACTGGAAGAAACAACAGAAGTCAGAGGTTGCTCTTAATGGCATGGGGACCAGACATAATGTGGGATCCCTCTTCTGGGATCTCAAATTTCACCTTCTTGATTATTCTTTGTTTTTGAAGAGCCTCACATAGCTCAGGGTGGCCTTTAGGTCAATACATAGTCAAGGCTGGTCTTTAATGGCTCCTCCTGACTCTTCCTTCCTGATGCTTGGATTGTAAATGTAAACTACCACATTGTTTACCTTAAATTATCTATCTATCTATCTATCTATCTATC